TTATTAAGAGGGCTGGCAGGAAAAGTTGATGATGTCTGGAGCAACAGATACAGATATTTTAACATAGAGCCTCTCTTGAAAACTTGAGCAAAATGTCAGGACTGCAGCGCATGTCTGAAAAGACAAACAGCCCACAACTTAAAAAGCCTTCTCTTACATGCACACTTTGGGTAATCTTGGTCCACCTCACATTTAAAAAACAATGAAATCAGTCATAATCTTAAATCTCACTAGAACCACATTATTGTTGAGCATTTTATGCTTTAGATTGTTGTCGGGTAGCTCACTGTTTCATAGCAGAACCTCACACACAACATAAAACTGTTGAAAAGATTTGTTGAGGCTCCACATTGCTGCTTGGATGCTGCCTTGAAGGACATGGTTTTGATTGTAGGAAAACTACCAATAAAAAGCACACAAGTGGTTCCAGTTAAGAGCTGTTTGCTTGGATGTGGCTTAACCCCAATGAAAGGACATGATTTAATTACTCTGCAGCTTTAATGCGCCTGATGTTTCTTTAGAAAGCACAGTATATAATCTTTCTTTTTTTTTCTAAACCGACTGTGATTCATCTCTGTAGAAAAAAAAACCTGTTAAAGAAAGAGCATTTCCCCCACTAATGATTGAGCAATGGAAAAGCACTCATTAAAATTATCTTCACATTTTAAACCAGTTCTGCACACACCGACAGTGGAGTTGTAGTTTGCGCTATAAGTAGAATCATACATTTCCCTTTTTATTTTCTATCACTACTGTGTGCTGCGCCCAAACCTTTTTTGGTAACAACCAACCAACCTGGGCCTCGGTGTGTCAACCAGAGCAATTAAAGACTGTGCTTTCAAATACCTTCATGATTGAAGAGACATTCTGGACATTCTGAACTCTAGAAAACTGGGTCTGGACAATTACAGGAGTTTGTTTTCCACACATGAAGAACGCAGCAGGAAACTTTCCGGAGTGTTCAAGCGAGGGGTGGAGCCTGGGATCAACATGCAGGAGGAGGGCACCATTTTTTTCTTTTCACCAAAAGCTCCTGGGTCTTGTTGTCTTTCTGAGTTGAAATCTTTGTCTGCGTTTTCCACATGTATGTCACATCTCTTTCATCCTGAGATATTTGTATTCTTCCAGTTTTGTGTTTGTCAAGTGTTGGAAACACCATCAACATGCTCGCTTGTTCATTGAGAATTTTCCCAACATTTTAGTCGAGGCCGGCAGGAAAAGAATTCGGCAAACTGACTCGTACATTTGGGTTCAGTGCATGTCTGGATGGAGCAATACAAATAACCAGAAATTCTCAAAAAAACAGAGGAAAGGGTAATGGAAGTCTGAAAAAATACACATACAATGTAGTGTGGCAGAAACATAATATTATGTCATGTCTTCAATGCTGTGGGCCATCCAGAATCCAAACTGGTGTGATAAAATACAGGTTTATCCTTGAATCTAGAGTGACATGTTATAATAAATACATTAAATATACAGACCAATAATGCCTGATTTACTTTTTATTTGCTTTTAAGCTTTTAACAACAACATAAAACATATGATCTTTGCATAAAACACATTTCCATTATCAGATTCTTTGTCATGATGAGATACAAATCTTGTATTTGTGTCTTAGAGAAGCTGGCCTCTTGGTGTCACAGCGGAGACACATCTTCTTTTTCTGCTTTCTGTGTGCGGCTGCTTATCTCCTCTATCTGCTCATGTTCCCTTATTTGGTCTTTCCTGTCAACAGTGATGTCTAATGCCACAACAGTCATCAGGGTTCATGATAAAATTTGATGAGAAAGGATGCATGGTGTGTGTGCGTGTGTGAGTCATACGGGGTGAACTTAAAATATCACTCTGATCTGGCAAGTATAAACAGAGAGAGATAGAGAAAGAGAGAGTGAGAGACATAAAAAGAGACAAAGTGTTGGTAGGCGCAGAGAACCTCAACGGAAGAAAACACGAGTAGAGAGGGTGGCTTCATTTCTGTGCTTGGTTGGTGCATGTGTCTGTGAGAGAGACAGACAGGCGGAATACAGCCTATAACCTCGAGTGAACCTCTGAACCCATGAAAGTGTCTCACCGTCGGCACAGACATTCATGGAAAAGCGTTCAGATCAGAGTGCGGCGATCTCGTGAAGCAGTGGCCCACATCGCAGAGGTGCTGTCTCTCTGGAAAAACAGCTGTCTATATTTAATCAAGGCGAATAAACAAGGAGTTTAAACAACTCATTTATAATTTAGATTTGCATACATTAAAACTGCTCATTTTAATCTTTTTATTAATATGCATCGACGATATTGTATAAATATGCGGTTTTATGCAAATACTGGGCAGATTTTCTGTTTGTATTTAATTCTGCTCCTCAGCTGTGGATCATCATTTTCATTCAAGGCAACCGACTCAGATTAAGTCAAATAAGACACTGCATGGGATTGTATAAATATTTCTCAATTAAAAACTCAGAAGACCAGCCATGCTACTGTATCAGCATTAAAAATGCATTGGCATTGGGAGGAAAATGGGGGAAGGCAAGTTATGAGTTTGATAAGACATCAGAACTTTAAGTCTACATCTTTGAACTTGTGTTTTTTTTCCCGTCTTCTTTCCCTCCTCCAATCAAGCCGTTGCAATAGCTTGCACTATTTTGCTGTTTTGGAGACAGTTACAAAATCTGGGGATGTAAGGACCAGCCAAAAACATGCTGTGCCTCCTTTATTGATGAGCATGCAGTGCTGTCTGATGTTTTTCACAGAATGTCCTACATTTTTGTTTCCTGCCTCAGCTGCTACTTTGCTGTCCATGCAAATGACGTGTTTTGTTCCACAGTGTGAGAACTACCAAGTGAACAGTTTGACAACAGCCACTACAACTGGGCTGCTGCGACAGAAGTGAATCCAACTCTGCATAAATACCACAGTTATCGTCTTTTTGATGATGACGATTCTCCCAGTGTGTGTGACATTTTGAACAATACAAACATGTATACATTAACTTAAATAGAGCAATATGATTGTTTGGAATTACTAAATGTATGTACCTCTATATGAAGAGGGCAACCTTCAGGATGAGTGCTCATGACAAAGTACATATTCTATATAAACCACTCACGAGAAAGACATGGCAGGCTTTTAGGTAAAAGAGGCAGCTGATACGATCCAGTGTTATCATCAAACCCAAAACTGGCCAAAATCTCCTTACTACAACAATGTACGCAATAGTGAATGTGATATTGTGTGTGTGGAAGTGTGTATGTGTGTGTTTTGTGTTTTAAACTCAGTGTTGTAGACACTTGAAAACACTTGATACAAGTATAAAAGTCAGTGAAAGGGAATGCACATCTGTGAATGCAGATACCAGCAAGTCCAGCTGCCAATGTACACCTTCACAACTCCTGAAGATATTGTTGCTAATATTAATTTTGAGTTATATAAATCCCAAAATATTCAATGTATTCAAAGGTAAGACAAGAAAGAGATAAAAAAATTCTGACCTTTAAGAATCTGGATTAATACATTGACAATCAAAATATTTGCAGGTTAACATAAAAATCAGTTACCAACCCTCTGAATGTGGAATGAGCCTCACCAAGGAGCTGCAATTATTAAAAAATGTCATGATCTCACTGCTGCTAAAAGTAAATCTGAAATCAATAACTAAAAGTGAAGTCCAGCTGGAGAAAAATGTAGTGAAACCCCAAATAGATGACTTTTGGCGAAACTTTGTTAAAAATGTTCTATAAAATAATTAAATGGATCCACATGAGAACCAAATCTTTTTAAACACATTTTCATAATCATTTGGAGATTATTTGGTTTTAAACCAATTGATGACAAAAAGAAAAGTAAAGTACAGATTCTGTGCAAACTTTGATTAAGGATTAAGGCTGAGCTCCAAACTAATGAGGATGTAATTATCATTTCAGTATGGTAAATAAAAAAATAAATTTGACTTTAATCTTTGAGAAATTATCTGTTTTAATTTACTTCTGTTAAATTAAAGTAGCAGTATACTGTTAGAATTCTGATACTGCTTTTTTTTTTACTGCAAATAAATTATTGAATATACTGTTGTGTAATTTAAATAATAGTTCAAGCTCATTTAAGCTCCATATCATCCCAATACTAAAACACCTGACAACGCATGTCACATGACCATTCATGTACACTGGCCACGGGTGTAAACAGGAAGCAGAACATCTACTCTGCAGTTGGTTACTTAGTTGCAGAAAATACTACGAATGCCAGCAGTAATGAAAAGTAAGACAAAGGATTTCAAACTAAACAAGGCCAGCAGTGTTTACATACTGCTCGGTTTTAGACACTCAAAAACTCTGGAGTAGTTTGAACGGCAGGCGTCAAAATGTGTTTTAAAACTAAAACATATGTTGTGTTACACGAAATAACGAAGAACAGCATTTAGATTACGATAAAAAAAGTTTCCTGAGACCTTAACAGCAAGGAAGCATCACTGACTACAATACAAAGCTGAAATACAAGGATCCACTGTATCTACTAAAGGTGACCGGGCATTTTCTGTCATGGTTTCCACCCTCTGGAACCATCTTCCCTTCGTTCTAAAAAAAAAGCAGAGTCTGTCACCACTTTCAAGAGGTCATTAAAACTCACCTATTTTGTAAATATTTTATCTTATGGTTCCAGTGCTTTTGCTTGCCCTCTGTGAAATTTTGAATCTCTATTGTTTTGTGTTTTACTCTGTTAGTTTTTTATCTTAATGTTTGTTTTGTGCAGTACCTTTGGTTTTGAAAGGTGCTTTATTAACATAACATACTTACTTACTTACACATGTGCTCTGTTGCCCTCCGAGTACATCTGCTTATCTTAAAGAGGAGTTTCAGTGGCAAAATGCAGCAGCAGGCTCCTGCAGCCAGGGGACCGTGGATGGTTTGAACACGCCCCTGGAAGTCATGCATAATGCCCGTGGAGCAGAGCTCGGGGAGGTGTCTCTTTAAGCCGCAGCCCTCTGCAGAAACAATCGTACAACCCCCCCCAACAAGTCATCGGACCTGTCAATCATCCGGTCGGCGCCTTTGATGTCGGGACTCCTCGCCATGTCTTGGGCTCAAATGAGCTGTTTGCTGTAGCAGGGAAACATTAGTCCTCCACCGAGCAGCCCGGGGACGCCACATATCAACTTTTCTCCTCTCTCCATGTACGTGGAGGGACTTTCTGCACTTTGGAGGCAACCCCACACGCGCCGAGGAGATTTCAAACCAGAAGTCCTTTGATTTTTTTCGTCTTTATTGACACTCTCTTATCCTTGTTACGCGAATTTATTTTTTTGTTGCTTTTTTAAAAAGTGCGATACATTGCGAGGGAGGGGAAAGACGCAGACATGCCTCAGCTGAGCAGCGGCGGCGGGGACGACCTGGGAGCGAACGATGAGATGATAGCGTTCAAAGACGAAGGGGAGCAGGAGGAGAAGATCCAGGAGAACGCTTTCACGGAGCGAGACCTGGCCGACCTCAAGTCCTCCCTGGTGAACGAGTCGGAGATCAGTCAAAGTCCGAGCGCGGCGGTAGGTGGCACGGAGTGCGTGAGAGTGGATAAACACTGTGTGTGTATGTGTGTGTGTTGTATCTGTACGCTGCTGACAAGCCGCTGAATGAATCGTAGTGAATCCTCTCTCAGGGTTACAGTAGTAAAATTTCCAGGGGGAGACAAAAAAAACACCATCTCTTTTCTCCTCTTTTCGGACCATCCGACCCCCTCACCCCCCTGTGCTTGTTGTCGGTCCCTTCCAGGCGGTCAGACGGGGACAGCAGCCGGGCGAGCAGCGGGGCTTCGCGGAGAAACACCGGGAGCATCTCGACGGAGGTGAGAAACACGAGAAAACCGAAAAACATTCACACACTAGCTACACAGTCGTTCTCATCCGGTTTCAGCAGCCACTACTATCTCAGCTGAGAGGCGATGACCCCCCCCCCCCCCCCCCATTGTGTCAAAGAGAAGAGTGTTACGGTCATCGGGACACGTGTTGCTACATTAAAGGAAACTTCAAAGAGTTGGGGTTTTCAGGCGTACACTGTAAGAAAACGTCCACGTTGTCGACTCTGGACTTTATCTCCTGGATCAGACACTTGTTGGTGAGATTGTCCTCGCTAGCAAGGAGATTCGAGTAGAAACCAGCAGCTTTAAATTTCATTTTATGTTAGAAGTAGAAGTATTCAGCTCATTATGTGACAATAAAGTGCTTGAGTAATGTTTGCTTTTTAAAGTACAGTTTTGAAAATCTTCGGTCCCTATTCAGAAGGAAATTCGGCCTTACCCTTTTCTATGTGCCTTGCAGAAAATAGAAAACAACAAACTCTCCCTTGAATGTGTGTAACTAGTGAGAACATTGTTCACATGTTCATAACATCTTCTGTTTGAAAAAAGGTATGAAAACAAAATATTAGTGTCCCAAATGTTTGAGTGGTAGTCTCTCTCATAACACATCAAATGAGTTGGTTTAACATTGTCTTTTCATTTTAAAAATCTTATTAGATTATTATATGGGCAATAGGGCTTGATACCTCTCTAACGGGGCTAGCAAAAGTTATATTTTGGATATACTGTTTGTTTTTATAAACATTGACGAAAACAGTCAGAGACAAAAAAATAAAACTATTACGCAGTGCTATTCAACTTCTATGAAATATTCAAGATGAGGTTGTAGAGCCACATACAGCCCAAAATTATAAAAAGATAGATATCGTGTCAGTCAACATAGCTACATAGCTAATTATCATGCTAATTGTCACATGCATATTTTTAATTATAAAGACTCAGTTTTGCTCCTGAGTGAAGGTGAGGTTTGAAACTGTTCTTTATGGGAAGGGGTAAGACAAAAATTTGATAAACAACAAAACATTTTACAAATCTGAGGTAGATTGATTATATTTGTTAAACCTCCTCACTTTGATTACAAAATGCATGATCATTATATAAATACATTTTGGACTTTTGGTATATTCCTATTATCACACAACTCCACGTGGTTGTACTGATAGTGTGATCTTCCATGTATAAAACATTTTGCCCTTTATTTAGATCTAAAAGCTTTTTGAAGTCAACCCCATGGCATTTTTTACAGTGTAGCCTTTGTCATACTTTGCCAAACCTGGTATCAACCTGGGTGCTTGAGAGGTTTATTTAAGTTTTTGTTTGTTTGGGTGGCCACCCATAAGAACAGCAATTTCACTTTCCCTCCCCTTTGGCAAATTGCAGTTTTAATTAAAGGCACTACTCTAGACTGTAGTCAGTCTCAAAACTTAATTTCAGTCATTTCTGAAATGAAAAATGTTCTCACATTGTGTTCCTTCGAGCACAATCCTCATCAAATGTGAATTTGTGGTTACAAATGCGCCTGTTTGGGGGGTCTTGAGGAAAAAGAAATGACACCCACAGGAAACACAGGAGAGAAAATTACGTGATTGCATTATTTCACGTTCTGTAACTCTAGTTCCGGGCAAATTAAAACTTGTGGTACCTTCAGAAAAGTTCAACAGTGAAGAGTGATTTGACTGGAGCAGTAATAAAAGGTTTTCACTGTGTGTCTCATGCAGATAACCTAGTTATACCAAGCTATACCTGACCCACAGAGAGGCCCCTGATGCTTGTTATGGGTGGTGGTGAGAGATAGATTTACACATAGGCTACAGGAGTTCACGCCTCTCAGGCTAGGTGACGCTTGTAACGCTTTGTCTCAAGTGTCGTCGTCTGTGCTCATACGAGGATATAACATGTAGTGACTAGAACACTTGTAAATAATTGGCCTTCTTTGTGCGCACATGTTATTTGGATGTCAGGTTTTAGTTTTTAATCCGAAGCAGGAAGATTCATCTTTTACAACATTGTGGGAGTGAGTATCAGTTTTAATTTGATTTCAATAGAGAGACTCCAGTGTTTCTTCCACAACTTCTGTTATTCACTAAACAACTTTTAATTCATAAAAGTCAAATTGAAAATGATGCCACGCTGATAACTGGCCCATTAGAAACCAATATAAAAGTAACCTGCGCAGAAAGTTAAAAAAAAACTTCTTCAAACTGTAAATTATCCCATTACACCTTTATTGTAGTTTTTAAGTCTGTCACTATTTTTTTTATTTTTCAGTGTCGAAGCAACAAGATGGAGGCATGTACAAGACGCCGGCGTATCCTGGCTATCCCTTCCTCATGCTGCCTGACCCCTACCACCCCAACAGCTCAGTTTCTCCATCTGTAAGTCTGCTTCTGTTTCAGTCTTTCTGCTGGCTGCAGTGCACGTGGTCACTGTTGGTTATCTGTCCCTGCGTATGTGCTGCTTTGTACACACTCTCAGTGAACACATGGTTTTGAGCTTCAGGAAGGAAACTCAGTTTTATTTGATGAACGATTAAATGATACTCAGTGTAAGTGGTGATGCTTTCGTCACGGTCGCTCACCACATACGAAGGAAATGTGACGAAAGAAAGCAACTTACCCTCAGGGATGGAAATGTCTATAGCGCGGGAGGCCGCTGGCTAGTATCTATCTTTTATTTTTAGCGGAAGAAAAGACATCCTCTGTCATCAGAATTCAGTAACAACAAACAGAGACAGCATGGATGTGACTGAGCATTAATGGGTGGAGATTCTTCTGTGATTTTTTGGATAAAGACATGAAGATGTTTTTCTGGGTATTTCTGCGTTTTACTCTTTTTTTCTGTGAATCTGATGTTTGACATTTATAAACACTCACTTATCAGCCTAGAAATCACCAAGATCCTCGCTATTAGTTTAAATCGACAGACTGTGGATTAACCTATATCCTCTTATAAACTTTTTTCTCACATATTAGCATTTCTTTGCTTGTATACAGATTTTCTATTGTGTCTTTTTTGATACATAGGATGTTCATAGTGTTATTTTACAGATATATCAGTAGCTTTATCTGCATTTCAAGCCTTAAAAGACGCTAAATTAGTTTTTGCACATTATTTATATTAGTTAGGCTTTTGGAGTTAAGCTTCTTTTCAGGGATTGAGATCTATAATTATTATAGTATACCTCTGTCTATTAAACCCCAGAAACGCATCCCTCGCCCATTCAAAATAGCCCGTTTATATTATTGCAGTAAATGAGAGTGTCTCTAGTTTAATGCAGTGAATGTTAATGTGGGTTCGGTGCTATGAGAGCTTCTGTCAGTCACAAACTTTACACATGTTCTTATTTGGCTTTGAACTGAACTGTGCTGTTTCCCCTGAAACCACCGTATAAAATAAAGCGCTCCGTAAAACGCAGCAAAATGAAATCAAAGCGCTGCCGCCTCACGAGGGAAGGCGGCAAAAAGATCCTGTTTTTGTTTACGCCTTCGCCGAAGTTGGGAATGTGATTGATGTCGTCACCCTGAGTTTTTTTTTTTCAACTGCATGCGCCCGGGTGAATGACGAGAGGTTTGTTGCTGCCTTTAATGGCTGTTCTAAGTGTTAAACCGCTAAAACAAACATCAGAAAGACTCATGGAAGGATTTCAAGTATGCAGTATCACTCATCCAGCCAGACAGCCCTGAAAAATTAATCATACGATCCCTTCAAGTCAGCCATAAGAACCAACATCCATGGATAGGCTGACTAATTGCACCAAACATGAGCAGTTGTGCCAAATTCATTTTCCACGTGCTGTGTAATCCTGTTGCCTGAATTAACCCCCTGCTCTTGTCGGCGAGACGTTGCTGAACAGCAGAGACAACTGTTTGCGGGATCACATGTACTTTAGGCTGATCTAATATGAAGCATGGTGAATTGGGAATCTGCTTTATGGCCAGAAAATGTGATTTCTCTAATGACACCTTGAAGTTTCTCACAGTGTTTTGCACCGCAAAGCTTGGGTCAAGGCCCGGCTTGGTTAGTCGTGGGATATTTTGACTGGGTCACGGAAAGGTCAAAAACAGCTGACTGTTGTTTCACACCATCTCCCACTACAAAAGATTCTCTCTGTAAATACCTCAGGCTGCCCACATTTAAAAAATTATAATTTCAAGCTCTTATCTCTTTTACATCAATGTTATTTGTGAATCAGTTGCTCCACCAGTACAGTGTAAAGTTGAATGAAATGTTAGAGGTTTAAAATAAACATTGGGTGCACACTTGTACTTGAATTATGTTTTTATCTTCCGTATAATTAAAATTCAATCTTCCAGATTTGGATGTTTAGGAAAAAACTGTATCCTGTGTTCTGTTTTATTGATGACAAAATCTAGCTCCTCACAGGAACTCAGATTTACACCTGGAAAAAGCTACGTTAATGCCTCCCAGGAAATTACGTTCTAACTCAGTCTGTGAGAATAGAATTGAATGAACTGTGAGTACAATAGAACGTAGTCATATTTCCCTAAACATGCGTATACTCTTTATTGCATAACATCGTACATCCGGCGTCGTGCTGCACAAACATGGTGAATAAGTGTGATGGTATTTTTCCTTTATCAGTTGGTCTCCTTCTCTTCTCTTTTCTTCTATTCTCTACTTTACTCCTCTCGAGTGCCAACCACAGAGCCTCTAGGAGATTGTGTTTGTTGAGAGCGGAGTGGAGGAGGAGGATGGAGGGAAGGAGTGGTGGTGGTGTTCGAGATAAAGAGCACTTTCTTCCCCTGTGTGTCTTCGGGACTCCACACAATGCTCACTTGTTGCTGCTTCCCTTGTAATTAGCCCACTGGTTGTGAGGCGGTACAGACGCATCGGGCCTCGTCTACCTGCCACTTGAAAGGGCTGAGAGTGGTGGTTTAGGGGTTTTTGAGGTGGGGGCTGATGATTATGGATGGAAGGGATGGATCGAGAACCACAGGTCTGTGAGACAGAAAAAAGCGGCTGTTTGGTGTTTTCCTCGTGTTGTGGTGTTAGTATGGGACATGGTGATGCATGTTACGTCTGTGTGTGTCCATGTCTTGCTGCTATCCTGTCTTGCTGTCATTCGACTGCGACTTTGAAAGTTTCTTTACAGCTAGTGTCTTGTTTCTTCTTCTAAAATATGTTTTAAAAGTCATCATTAAGTTCGTAAAAGGTTAAGAGGTTACGCCCCCAGGCTAGTATCTTTTATACAACCCAAAAAAAATTCCCAAACATATTCAGTGTCAGCACGTTCATGAAGATGAAATCATATCAGATG